GTCTGGCCACCCCAAGCGTGATTGATTGGGGCCGGCGCTGCGGGCCTCTGGAAAGAGTTATTTTTGTCTTCCTCCGAGCAAAGTTTTTCTATCACCTTGTTGCAAACAGCTCGTCAGGAGAGCGCTCTCCACCCGCAGCTGGGGCTCTCGCCTGGTGCTTGAGGGTGAAATCTGCTGGGGCACTGAGGCAGGCGTCGGGGCTGGGGGCTCCTGGTGATCCTGTGTTCTGCTGGGAGATCCCCCCAGTCAGCTGGTGCCAGGAGAAGGCAGCCACAGGAGAAGGCAGCTTGAGAAGAGCTGAATCCTGACCGATCCGCATCCATCCCCAGGGAGGTTGGGACTGGGTTAGCCAGAGTGTGCAGGGCTGCCTGGGGCACCGCCAGCAGTCGTTGTAGAAAAATCAGTCCCCGCAGACACCCCACGGTTCTGGGTATTCATCACTGTCGTGCGTGTGGGACAGACGCCAAAATGCAGTGTGCAGTGGCACTGGCACCCCCTGCTTTGCTTGGGGAAGCCAGAGAGGGGGGCAGAGAAGTGTGAAGCGACGGCCGAGAGTGCAGGGCTGGACAGGTCACATCGGGTGGTTACACTGGGGACCACGAGAGCTGCCTGTGGCCCAGAGATGTGGGGCCTCCTTTCTGGCTTTTAACTTTTTTTCTTTTTTAATGCTAAAAGCTGTCCCCGAATTGAAATCGTTTCATCTTGATGCTGCTCAAGGACACAGTCTCTCCTCTTTCCAGCTCGGTATTTGAACTTCAGTGGTGGCTGGCGTTTGATTGATGTTGCCATCTCTTTCTACTCCACCTGTGTCAAATCAAAGCTGCCTTTGCTGTGCTGCTGCTGCCGAGACTGGAGCAGAAGAGCTGTGGAGCAGCCATCCTGAGGTGGAGGGATGGTGGGTGGCGGGCAGGGGTGCCAGGCAGCCTCAGATCAGCACCTTCGTTCAGTCTTCAAAACCTCCCAACGCTTCGCAAACTGCAGAGCAGCTTTTTTGTGCCCGTTTGTCCCTGCGCTTCAGCAGCGGCACCAGGGAGCGAGCAGTGAAGTATCTGGGGAGCAGGAGCCACTCTTCTGTTCCGTGTTTCCCCGTCTCACATGAAAAGCGCATTTCAGCTGCTCCCTAATTGCTACAGAGCTGCGTGGCTTTGAAGTTGGTGCCGCGCATCCGGGCTCCGGTTTCCTCCGTGGTGGTGCTGTGGGACAGAGCTGCCTGCGCCCGGCCCGTTTGCATCCGTTTGGTCCTAACCTCCTTTTTTGCCTTGTCTCTTTTGTTTTTATCTCCCCACCTCTGTGCCCTGCAGATTCAGAGGATGACGGAGAGTCAGAGGCAGCGAAGCAACTGATTCAGCCCATAGCTGAAAAAATCATCGCCAAGTACAAAGCCAAAGAGGAGGAGGCACCGTTGCTCTTCTTTGTGGCGGGCGAGGTAAGCGGAGAAGAGCACAGGGCTGTGTCCTGAAGTGTCTTCATAGGAGGACTGAGCTGGGTTGGTTACTGCTGTTAACACTCTTTAGGAGGGTAAACTGAGGCGTGGAGCTACTACAGCTGTAGGGGACTGCAGCGCAAAGCCAGACCCAAGTCCTGTCTCAGTCTCCTGCACTCATTGCTGGATGTTACTGCAGGCAAAGGGGTCCCAGCTGCGTTTGCTTGGAGGCAGAAAAGACTGACAGCGGGTAAGGGGACGGGCAGAGAGGGGCTGGAGGTGGTGGGAGGGAGCTGCCAGCTGCTCCCTCGAACCCTGAGGCTGCGCAGGCAGGAAAGGGCTGGGGACAGGGAG